GCACACGTATAATTAACGTAATGCTAAAGATAAATGACTATACTTGTTTGATAATAGTAATTAACAGAAGACAGTATAATAAACTCTCCATCCCTCTCACATCAATATAAGGATCTATATATTTCTCATAAACACTCATTATGCCACACTTGTATTTTTGTTTCTCCTTCTTATCTTCTTGGTTCATTACTCAGGGCCTCAGAAGTAAAAGTAAAGAAGTACTAAGTACTATAACCCAGATACACAGGTTTATATTCAAATAAGCTAAAATCTTAAACACTTATCTAAAGAAACTGTCATTTTTTATAACCATGTAAAACAAATCAATATGAAATTGATAACTGAATTATACAGTTGCAAATGAACGAAGTAAATAAAGAGAGGTTAAGTACATAATTTCGTGTTATTAAAAAATAGGAAAATGAACCTTTTTCAAATTTTAGACTGAGAATTATGAGTATCCAACATGGTGACTACTGGGAATGTTAATTAGTTACAAATACTTGAATTATGTAAGTAATTTTCAAATGTTCATGAAAGACAGCCTCAGATATTTTTAAGGTTTGTCAACATATAGGTGATCACATACGGTCACTGAATTTTTTTATTCCATAAAGCATTATCTTTATAAAAGAACGATATTTGTAAATGCACATCGATGTGAGAATGTTAGAAGAAATATCATTGATTATCCCCAAATGTCACAACTTTCTCTAAACAGAAAATACGTCAACGAGACTATTTTGTCTTCTATTTTGACAATTTTACTTGTTCTGGTTGATACTTTTTATTGGAAAATACGTCAACGAGACTATTTTGTCTTCGATTTTGACAATTTTACTTGTTCTGGTTGATACGTTTTATTGAAAATACGTCAATTACAAAGGTTTCTGAGAGTTAAGGTTAGTGAAACGCACAAACCGAAAGACAATTTTCAAAACTGAAAATTAAAACTTGAAGAGTATTGTTTGTTTGTTTTTAAATTTCGCGCAAAGCTACACGAGGGCTATCTGCGCTAGCCGTCCCTAATTTAGCAGTGTAAGACTAGAGGGAAGGCAGCTAGTCATCACCACCCACCGCCAACTCTTGGGCTACTCTTTTACCAACGAATAGTGGGATTGACCGTTACATTATAACGCCCCCACGGCTGAAAGGGCGAGCATGTTTGGTGGGACGGGGATTCGAACCCGCGACCCTCAGATTGCGAGTCGAACGTCTTATCCACCTGGCCATGTCCATATATAGTAGGATATCCAAGTGATAAAAAGTTTTCATGTATTTTTATAATAACTCTCTTTTATCTCAACATGCGAAGTGTCACTTATCAAAGTGTCTTAATAACATATAAATGTCAAGAAGACAAAAATTTAAAGTAAATAAAAATATTTAACTTTGCTAGGACTTTAATATCCTGGAAAATAAGATAACAACTTCAGCACAGATTAGTAGACATTTTGTTAAATTTCTTGTATACAAATAATATTCCTCGCAAACAAAACATAATCACGTGAATTGCTCACAAAGCATGTTTGGAAACTTATGATTGGGGAGTAAGCTAATTATAATACAAAGCATATTTAAAGGAATATAATTTGGATGACTTCTTAACACAGGTTTATATATTTTTTCATTAGAAAACAAGCTTGTCTTCTTATCAATACAATGCATTTATTATAATTATTTCAATTGAATTAATTTTATTAATGTAAGTCTCTGATAATTGTACTTTTTATGAACTTTTCATTTTGGAAATTTATTACTGCTTGTTAAAAAATTGCAGTGTGTCAAAAAAGAAAAAAAAAGATGAAATTCCTAAATTGGATTTAGAGACTTCAAAATAGAAATCAGAATATCGTGTGTTTGGTTCTTCAGAAACCGAAGGAAGACATGCAAATATATACATATATAACTCAAAAAGAATGTATCTTTACCTTTCAGGAATAAAACGGTATGAGAAGTCTGAAACTCTTCGGATGTCACGTTCACAAAATCATTCTAAAGAATTTTGTAAGAAAACTGCCTATGATTTCCAAGTGTTCAGACGAAAACACATTATTCCAATGTCATCAATTTCATATTCGAAAGAAATAGTGGAGATCTTTCTCTTCATAAGCAAAGATAGAGGAAAACGTCGCTTACTTCCACTTCAACCATGTATGAAATGTACCAGGGGAAGTGCATTGGCATGGATCAATAATTGCAGTTTTCTGGCTTTAGAAAGTCTCAATTTTAACTATAATATATATAAAAAAAGGCTTCCACGAATCGCTATTACAAAAATGGCCGCTACCATAATGGATTTAAATAAAAGTCCGAATTAAATGTGTTTTCAAAAATTGGCCTTTATGCCATCAAGTAATACAAGCATCAAACTGTATGACGTTGGTGCTAACAGTTTCATTTTTGATACTGTATGACAGCTAGGATTAGCTTTCATGCAGTAAATTCACGCGTATTTAATGCCTTTTATTTGGCTTCAAATTCCAAGAATGACGAAAGCATATCTAAATATTTGATGCTACATTTCAGCACAGTAATTCCCAAACAGAACATGTTGACTAGCAATGCAGCAAACATAAAGCATTAAGTCACAAGTAAACCAACCTCTGCAACTTCACAGACCAAGTGTTTTATTGATTTTAAATATTGTGGTGTACTTAACCTAATAGTAGATAATTCTAGGATAAAATTTGGAAAGTGAGTAAAGAGCTTCACCCTATAAGGGCTAAGAAAACTTGATAAAAGTTTAATGTTCTTATATCACCCAACTGTGAGGGTTAGTAGAATTGCGAGACAATAATTCACATAACCGAAATTTCCGATATGTTCAAATGAGGGTGTGAGTTACTCCCTGCCATCTACAAATAGTGAAGTGTCGTCGTTATAATAAAAGATGGCAGTAGCAATTGCAGCACGAGCTTCGAATGCACAACCCTGATTTTTAAGTTGCTGTTTATATTGGTGGACGGAGTCTATGTCTTCATCCCTGTGTGTGTGTGTGTTTGTTAGCAAGATTTCTCCAAAACGGCTGAATGGAGTTGGACGAAAGTTGGTATACTTGTGGGCTATAATCCAATTTAGAAATGGTTAGTTTTTGGAGGGTCAAAGTCACAGCAAAGTCACGAAAATCCAAAAAATCCTTATCTGTTAATATGGAGACCAATTTTTCACACTATTTTTACTCTATAACTCAATCAATTGTTTGTTTGTTTGAATTTATGCACAAAGCTACACAGTGGGCTATCTATGCTCTGCCCACCACGGGTATCGAAACCAGGTTTCTAGCGTTGTAAGTCCGTAGACATACCGCTGTGGCACTGGGGGACGACTCAATCAAAAATGATTGGATTTTGATGAAGCTTGGAGGACTTATGTGGAATATTATTCCTCATTGTCCTGCCAAAAATTGCCTAAGTCTGTTGATAACGACGGGCATACGGACACATTTTCATATTTCTTGAGAGCCGAATATGATCAACGCTGCTTGGCGGAAGTGTGCACTCGACAGAGTGTCCCTCTAGTTTTCGATATATTTTAGAATTATTTTATTCGGTATTGTTTGAGAGCAATATTTATATAAAAATACTAATTTCGTAGGAACAATTGTGTAACTTTATGCAAACTGTAATAAAATGTCGAGTTTGTACATTAATAACGTGTTTCTAAAGAAACAAAAATTTTGTTAAATGTTAAAATGGAATTGAAACCATTTGGTTCTGAAGGTTATGTAACGCCAAATGCTCATTGCATTAAATTCGGAAAATCTGAATCATAAAGCAAAGTCAAATACAATAAGGATTTATATCTCTTGAAAAAGTATAAATTCTTTTACATCATATTTTATGGAGCTGGAGCCAATTGGATAAGAATAATGGGTATTTGAGTGTGTTAAGATCTGTTCACAGAAACTGTTCCATGAAATTAGACAAATCTTGAAAGGAAGCTTAAGTGTCGTGAAGAAACTTAGTAATCAAGTTAAATCATTTCTTAATTAAATATTAGATAAAAGAAAGAACAGCGGCTTCAGAACAGATTATTTTCCCAAATGTTCCTTGATATTTAATCAGGTTCAAGGGAGAGATCGAATAACTCGTTTATTCGTCATTGTCTTAACAGTTTTTAATTCATACATCCTTCAGATGTTCTTCACCCTCGGACGGAATGTGGCCCGATGGTTGTAATGACAGATTGTGGTTCACAAATTTTCCTGGTTCGTGCCCTGTCACCCCAAAAGAAAAAAAATATATCTGGGGATGTGGGTGCGCTGTAAGAGTAACGGTCAAATCCCACTAATCTATTAAAGTATCCCACGAGTTGGCGGTGGATGGTGTTAACTAGCTGTCTTCCATTTATTCTATGAGTTCAAACTTAGGAATGGCTAGCGCAGATAGCCTTCGAGTAGCCTTGCGCGAAATTCAACAACAACAACAAACAACCTTTACCCTCACCGTCAAGATGTCAACGCTCTGTAGGTAAATGTTGTTAAATATTTTAATATTTATATTATTATGTCTTTAACAAATATTCAGAAACTCGAAATTAAAATTTGGTTTGTAACTGTATTTAAGAGTCTGATTCTATCACAAATAGTTGTATAAATGTACCTTATATTTACCTTAGCATACAACTTTCATCTGATGGCAATATTGCATATATCTAATATGCAGTTTTCACTTAAATTAACGAGAGGAAATCTGGGGTTATTAAAAAATAAGCCTAACTATTTGAATGAATCTAATTTCATAATGATATATTATCCCACGATATCTGGAAATAGCTTAAATTTTCCTCACAAACCTTCTACAAATATGAACAAAAATTACAGAAAGCTCAAAGTCATAAGTTATTTCTCTGTATAAATCCTTGAAAATTAAAATCTAAATGTACAGAATTTGGTTATTAAGAATGAAGCACCTAGTTTTAAGGAAAAATAAGAGCGCACAAACGCAGAATATTGAATGTAATACATTTAAAAATTAAAGTAAATAAGCTTCACTTACCTTCACGACCCCTAAAGACAATAGTAGAAGCCACGCCACTAAGCTTGAAGACCACATTACAGTTGCAGTAAATACCTTTGTCGCAAAACAAACCAAAATAAGTAAATCTTCGAAACTCGGTTTCTTTAGAACTTAAGACTATTTAAAACGCTTATTGTTTTTCACTGTAAAAAATTTAGTAAAACGCAGAACAACTATATTTTGTGATCAAATAACAGCTCTGCTTTTTATAAATTAAATGAAATCGAACGATGAACAGAGACAACTTTATAATTCAAACCGTTCTATAGATTAGTGATTGTAAGAGATGGGTATTTGCATTGGAAAATGCGTGTATATATATATATATGTTTATCAATAGTTTCTCATATTTAAAAAAAAATCACTGTGCCAGTGTTTATTGTTAAATACCTTAAACAGGTTGTCTACAAACCCTTTTCAAAGTTTTAATCAATTTACACATTTAATTCGTATATTTTTTTTTCTCCGGGTTTTAAAGATAACAAGTTCATTCTTTAAAGTCTGTTTCGTCGTCTAAAATTTTTTAATTAGAGTGTTCATTCGATCAGCCTACATTTCTCTCTGATATACCCTCATGGAAGTTCTACAATAATGGAACACATGAGGCCTAATAAAAGATTTTTTTTTTTCTGAATGTACAAACAATTTCTTGAACCTACACCTTTTTAATACGAACCTAAAGAGCTTAGGTTAATTACTTTCTCTGATGATTTGTATAAGAGCACCCTTTCCTTTGCAAAATTTACACTCTTAGTGTCTATTTGCAAGTATTTTTCGTTACATCAAGCTAATATACGTGCAGTATTCGCCAAAGACAACAGTGTTTGGAAGTTTTGCTCGAGATAAACAGGAATTAAAATACTTATATCAATCTCCTCTATTTAAAATGTATAAAATCTGCACTATAAATCAATAAGAGTTAGTATATGAAAGAATATTAACTATAATTTCACTCCATAGTTTATCAGATATACTAATTTCACCAAGAAAAAACAATGCTTTATGAATGGCATGCTGATTAGTCGAAAGCAGTTTTATGATTAATTTTATGCCTATCTACACTTACTACCTCTTCCATAACCTTTTATAAAAGTATTTAAGTGTGTGAATTGAGCAGAATACTTGAGTATTATTGTAAGACTAAATAAATACTGAGTTTGTGCGTCAAATCTATGGAGATGTGCAATTGAATTAAATATTTTTGCTCGTACATGATGATTTTTTGTGTGAATTAAGCAGTATACTGAGTAATTTTGTTAGACTAAATAAATATTGAGTTTTGTGCGTCAAATCTATGGAGATGTGCAACGGAATTAAATATTTTTGCTCGTGATGAAACAAAATTATGCTGTTCAATCCGATAATTTAAATAAAAAGAGCAGATAAATAATACTGTTAAAAGTTTGTCTTTTACACGGCGATTTTGGAATTAGTTAAATTGATTAAATCTTGAGTTCAATCGATTTATTTATTTATTTAAGAAGGTGTGTGCAAATAACAAACGAAAAACTGATGATAATGTGTATTCATGCTTTAACCCTACTTTAAGAACTAATACCTAACGGAATTATTATGTTTACTTACATGCTTTATGTAATCGATTTAACTTTTTTTTTTATGAGAGCTATGATTATAACAATTTTTCTCCATTTATTTTGCACTTTAATGATTTAAAAAAAAAGATGATTTTTAATTATTAAATGCTGGTTTGAGCAGCTTTGATTCATTTAATGATCCTTTGTAATGTTTCTAAGTGAATGACTTATAATCTTTAATCTTATTACTTTTAGCATCTGGTTAGCAAAAACAAAGTAAACCGGGTTATCTGTGTATGAGTGATTAATTACCAAAAGCGCTTTGATGTTTAGACTTGAAATTTTAAACATCTAACTCTGTTGTTCCTTTTTATCTCAACTATGAAACTTAAGACTTACTAACTACAACGTCATGATGGTGAATCGAAATATGTCGTATTAAGATAGTTTCAAGGTAGAAAAATTAACTTTATCATAATATGAATTTTGAAAAAAAAAGTATAATTTCTTTTCAGATTACCCCTTTAGCTTTCCTTGTAACTTTTGCGAAAGTTTTTTTTTACTATACGTACTTAAAAATTCAAACATTTTAAAACACTGTGTCTAAGAATATACTTGTGTCCCTGTTTTACATTTTGCTAGTTTACAATTAAAAGTTCACTTGACATCTTAAAACTATTGTTGATTATTATAATGACAATTACAATTCAATTATGATAATCACTATTGATTTTAATTATAAGCACCGTCTGTTACTCGCCTCACAATAATAACAACCCAAATATATATTTATATATATTTTTTTACTTGCAGTACCTTAAGATAGATATTTCTTTTAACGAACCCCGGAGAGATAATGTCAATCGTATAACCGTGGTTTGTTTTTGTAGAAAATATTGTAACGTTAAACAAAGGGCACAAATTTTCAGAGTAAACACCTTGCAAAATTAGAATAATTTCATAACAATGCTTGAGCCAAAAAGCAGAAACATTCACCAAAATATTGCAAAACAAGTGCAGTCAACGTTTTTCATTTTGGCCCTTGCTTCTCAATTGTCCTTTCAACGAAGTGGTTTTTACAACGTTGCGTCCTTCGTCAAGCAACCGCGATCATCATTTATCTTAAATAGAAAAACTAACAAAATAAATAAATTATATTTTAATATCTGTCAAAATTATAACTATAGAAAATTTACCTAAATTTACTTTGGTTTGTTGAAGAGTGTACTCACCTTTTGTGGAAATTGTTAAAGCAATGATAATGTAAATTCCCGTCACTACGTCAGAGCTGCTATCAACTGAGTTGGGTTCTCACATCGATACGCCACTTTTAAACAAGATCACTAGATGGCGCTAAATAATTCAGAAAGTATTACTCACGAGAGTGCAGCACATACTTGAAACTGAGTGATAAAATTAATATAACAAAAGGAAATGTAAACTTAAAGTACAAAATTAAAAACACATTCAAATTAAAAAATACCCTAAATTATCAAAAATGATATTCAAGATATAATATAAATTATCTTACGAAATAATTCATTTTTTTAAATTTATATCTGTCATAGTACTTGAAATTGTGTATTTGCTTTTATTTCTGCACAAAATCAGGTATCCGTCTTTGTCCGGGTTATGAATTTAAAAAAATGTGTGGATAGAGGTCATGGTAAATAACACAAAAATCCTAACTTTCACATAATTTATCTATAACATATTATTACAGTATTTACTATTACCTCACTTAAAGTTCTCTATGAACTTTAAGAACTCAATATGTATATTCTTAAAGCATGGTATACACTGTGTGATGGTCAGGGTGACTTTGTACGAAGAGGTAGCAGCCAAAGAAGTGGAGGTAGGGGTGCTTTCTGTTACCCACTTTAAACACCCATCTCTTAATGTCCTTCCACACTGTTTCACGTTATTAATTAATTGACGGTCATTGGCTGCAGTGGTGTCTTATGGGATGAAGTTGTAAGGTCACAGGTCAAAGTAGGAAGTGGGTAGAACTCAAGAAACGGCTCTTCATATCAGTGTTATGGTAGTTGTTATTGTATCAACTTCATTTGAGGTTATGTATTATTGCAATAGTGGTCATTTTTTTCATTGCATTCCTCCATACAGAGTGCTAGCACACTCTTTCAGATATATAAGATGTTTGTATGTCCTCCCCCACAATGTGTGTATATTGTGTTATAGAATGTTGTGTTTTCTTATAGCAAAACCACATCGAACTATCTGCTGTGTCCACCGAGGAGATCGAACCCTTCTCTTGATTTTAGCGTTGTAAATCCGAATACTTACCGCTGTCCCACCGGGAGATGGAAAATTTAGTTATTTTTTCTTTGGTGTAAGAACGTGGCGCTATGTATCTATAATAAATGTTCAAGGAGATCATTAATTGGGGTTGAAGGGGTTTTGAACCTCTATTAACACGATCTTGCTCCAAACTATCATCCCACAACGTTTGGTTGAGATTGGCACAGCGACCTAAGAGTAGTTAGATAAGGGGCAAACAGACAAACACAGATTTTTGTGTTTTATATATATAGATTAAAATGGTTGAAAAAATACAGTGTAGTTATATGCCTGTATTATGTACTTAGCAAGCGATATTTTATAGTTCTTCAACGTAATAATAATATTATCACTTTCATTTCCTTAGTGCATCACTAACAGATCATGATGTCTTTCTGCTGTTTGTTCCACTTTTTCTTTCAAAAATCACTATTTCTTATTTATAAAAGGCTCAATGTAACCTCTGCGTATATTTTTTTTACCCTAAGATAACCTGGTAATATGCAGCAAGAGGTTTTTATGCTTCGTAACTATGCAAACGTGAAGCAAGAAACAGCTTCATATTTCAAAGTATGTTTTGTATTGCCCATCTGCAAATCAATACAAGTCTAAGCAATATTTTATCGTTGCTGTTATGCCGTATTACTGGTGTTCATTTCTGGTCACCATATTTTAGGTTTCATTAGACTTGTTTGCTTCTGATTTTCGTCCAAAGCTACACCAGGGCTATCTGCATGTAACAATCCATAATTCTGAGTTAATAACCTAGAGGGAAAGTAGCCAATCAACAGCACCAACCGCCAACTCTTGGGTTACTTTTGTTTTATTGAATAATGCGTCAATCTTATAAGTGCGGAGCGTGTTTTTGCGGCAACTGGAAAAGAACCATAAACCTCGGACTCACTGTCCGAGCTTGTTAACTGCTAAGCCATCCCCGATTCGTGAGTATTTAGTGAAAATGGACTCTCATACTGTGTATTATAATGAATGTATAATTTTGACAACATAATCCAATGAATAGTAATATTTTCATCGATAAATACTTTTGTTGAACCGTCAGTACGTACAAAACGTTTTTTAATTCAGTTTATTTATGCATTCTTACACATAAACCTAATGTCTAGTTTGAATGAAAACAGCTTTATTTTGAAAACAATTGTAATATGCTTAGGAATAAAATCCCAGGTTAAGTGTTATAATGGATTTCTGTGGTGTTATTATTGACAATATTATTTTACTCAAAAGATAAGTAACTTAAAAAACCCATAAAAACTTGGGTGAATGTTATTGTTTATCGCCGAATAGATTTCAGCTTCAAAACATAAAGAACATGTTTGCTGATGACTAGAGTAGCACTCAGTACAAGAATTTTGTGATAGAAACAGGCTAAAAAAGTTTTAACTCATCATTCTTATTTGTAAGCAATAATGAAACTTAACTCGCCAGAATAATGTATTAACCTTTAAGAAAAACATCCAGTTAAAGAACGCTTAGAACTTATTTAGTTTACTGTAATCATTAACTATTTACTAAACTATTTGGGATAAAGCTAGAAACTGGGTTTCGATACCCATGGGTGGCAGAGCACAGAAAGCCTATTGTGTAACTTTGTGCTTTATTCCAAACAAACAAACAAAGACAAGGTTTAAAAAGAACTTTTTAAATGTCTCGAATGTCATGCACATATCGAAAAAACATTCAATAAAAAAATCAATAACAGTAGTGAGTTTTTACAAATTCGTGATGTTAAGCAAACACATCGTAGTTTATGGCCGAAGATGGTCAAACATCTGTTCAACTATTTGTGAGTAAACTAGTGGGTTAATTAAGGAAGATATGACGAACAATGGGTATTCAGGATAGCTGGGTTTTAACTTTTAGTTAAAATAAATATAATTTTTTTTAAGTTTTACTTTAACATGAAATAAAAGGTTTTAGTTTGAAATTAAACATCTGTGATTAGAATATTATCATTATACACTCTTCTAATTTTTGAAAATCATTAAGGGACTAGATATAGAATGCAGTGTTTAAAACTATAGTAGGCTTAATACTTATGTCTAATCACAAGTAAATTAATTATAATCATGCTTCGCCAGCTTTAAAGTTCTAAAGTTGTGATGTGGTAAGTCTTAAATAAACAGAAACTAGAAAAAGCTGTAGTTGTACCATCACTTCAAATAACAGCCAAGATCAAACATTTTGGGAAGTAGACTTTTCTCCATCCTAAGGAAGATGGACAAGTGAGGAGTAGTCAGCCAAGTCGAAACGTTGTACATTTGCTGTTATGTTAAACTTGTATTAAAGTTTTTCTTTATTACCCATTCAAGCCGTCTTCAACCATTATTAGTCTCAAAGTGGGTTCCTCGTCATCGAACGTTATACTTTGTTGTCCTAGATCAACAGAGGCGATGATAATGCAATATGTGCCGTCTTACGCTGTTCATCTACTTCCATATGAAATTACAAGTTTATTAGTTGTGCCTAGGACAATATTTTATAACTGAATGAGAAAATATTTCTGCACCTTATATAAAATAACATCTCAATAATGGCTTTGAAGTTGATAACATTTACAATTTTAAGATACTCATAAATCATACTTATATACTAGCTTAGTACTACATATGTAATGCATAATATATTCATTAACCTTTTAATTTGGTTTTAGAATTTATTTGTAGTTTCTAACGTGCTCCACAAATATTGTTTGACTACGTTCTCCATAGATGGCACTACATTAGCTAGAAACACCGTTACAGAATTCTGGTTATCATTATATTAGGTGTATTTGTGCTGATTAACAAATCTAGTATAATACTTCACGAGATTAATCACCAAGTCCAATATTGTATTTCATGTTTTAATTTTATTGTTATTAATCTAGCTTGGACATTTCTATAAACTAGAAATTTTATAGGAAGAATGAGTAATTTTTAGTAATAACAAGATGAGGTACTCGTGCTTTGTCCGGGTTATGAACTTAAAAACAAAATATGGGGGTGGATGCTATAATAACACAAAAACCCTAACTTCCACAGAATTTATATATAGCATAACATATTATTGCAGTATTCATTATTATTTCAGTCAAAGTATTGTATAGGCTTTAAGAACTCACTATGCATATACTCAAAACATGGTAGTCAGGGTGACTTTGTATGAAGAAGTAGCGGCCAAAGTAGTGGCGGTAGGGGTGCTTTCTGTTACCCGCTTTCAACATCAACCTCTTAATGTCCTTCCACAATGTTTCCCGTTATTAATTAATTGACGGTCACTGGTCGCAAAAGTGTCTTAAGGGCCGAATATTTAAAGTCACTGGTTAAAGTAGGACAACTCAAGAAACGCTCTCCATATCAGCATTATGATGGCTGTTGTAGTATAAATTTCAACTGGGCTTAAGTATCATTGTAACAGTGGAGGTTATTTTTTCTTGCATTTCTTTCTATACATAAGACGTTCATGTATCCTCCCCCACACTGTGTGTATGTTGTTTTATAGAAAATCTAATAATATTTTTTGCTGTAAGGACTTTGCGTCATCTATGAATGTAGTTAACGTTAAGATAATAAATGCGTAATAACAGCAGTAATGGGGTAGAGGGGTTGTGAATCCCACTAACATGCCCCTTATTCCAATTTATCATCCCACAAAGTTTGGTTCAGATTGGACCAGCGCTCTAGGAGTAGTTAGATAACGGACAGACAGACACACAAATTTTTGTGCTTTATAATATATAAGTAAGATAAATTGAATATATACACAGTTAGTGTGGCCAGAAAGATCAATATTAGATTATTGAACAAATTATTTAATATTTAAACATAATAGAGATGCAATAATTTAATAGAAACGTACTTTTAGAATTCCTAAGTAACCTTAAAGCCTGACACACAAGCCAGTCTGACATCTTGATGTGGATAAAAAGCAGAGTCATTTCGTAAAGTTTTGAGTTGTTTTGATTGGACCAAAAGACGTTTGGCACAACTTCTGAAGTCTTGGTCATTGGATCAAGCTCG